AGAAAACCAACTCGTTTGTATTAGATGCTCAAGGTCTCAAAATAGACCAAGCTACCGCTACCCCTCCCGCTCCAAAAACACAGCCTCATTCTGTCTTTGAAGAAACCACACACGGAGCATCTTCCTGTTTAAAAAATGACATTTATACTGCCATTAAGCGCGTTCGTCGCTGACCCGTGTTATCTGGCGGGTGGTCGGAGGCTCACAAGTACTAAGCAATGGCTGACGATATCGAGCAGCATTAATAATGTGGGGTTGGGGCCTCCCTGGTGGCGCAGCGGTTGAGCGCTGGGTTGCGAAGCTGCCCGCAGCCTCTGCGGCGCCGGTTCGATCCCCGGCTGCTCCCCGGCCACCCGAGGAGGGTCCCCCATGGCGTGCAGACCTCTCCTGGCGCCCGCTGCTCCCCTCAGCAGTGTCCTTCGGGCCTTCTGCCTGCTCTGCTCCCCGCTCTGGCTCTGGTGAATCCTCTCACCCTCCCGCGCTTCTCACTGTACCCAGTGCTTGTATAAATAAAATAAAAAAAATAAATCTTTAAAAAAAAAAAATAATGTGGGGTTGGTTTCAAATGGGAAACACAGCAGCAGACCAGTTGCTGGTCTTGCGCAGCGCCGGAGAGGCTGCCGTTCTTACACTGCTGGGATTTAGTGTAGCTGCAGTCCTGAAGTTGCAATTAAACTTCAGTCAACTTTCACCGCAGCCGCGTTCAACGGCGGGGCTTACCTCTGGTGCCTCGGAAAAGAACAGTAGAGCACGAAGCCCCGCGCTGCTGCTGGCCCCTGCTCTGCAGGCACCAACGCCGGCGCGTCCCGACGCGCCTGGGTGAAAGCCCTCACCCTTCGCCGAGTTCCCGGAGCAGCGTGAGGCGACACACCCGCTGTCTGGCTTATTGCTTCATGTTGAAAGTCTGAAAGCCGAGCCCGGAAGGAGAGCGCACGCCAGAGCCCGCGCTAGGTTTAACCCGACGTCCTGACCGGGCCCAGGCGGGCCGCGAGGGCGGGAGCACGCCTAGTGCGTGTCCTGGGAGGAGCCGCTGCCCGGCCCGCGCCCTCCCTGCGGCCTGCGCGTCTCGGCCGTGGCTGGACTGCAAGCTCCTTGCGGACAGGACTCCTTTCCCCAAGTCACCTCTTGTAACGCAAATTTGGAATTAGGTGGAATGCAGACCGCAGAGCAGGAGTGTGGTGTGGGGAGAAGAGCTTCCGTGCTGGGGACCTGTGAACCTCTGCCTCTCGCTGGCAGCTCCTGGGCCGTGGCGTCCCGCCTGGAGACAGAGCCAAGGCCGAGCCCAGGACACCAGGCAGACCCTGGCTGTCAGCAGAAGGTGTCAGCCTCTGGGCCGCGGCAAGCGCCACACCGCGGCGGGCAGAAACCGCGGCTGCCCAGCCTCCTCCTCCAGGCCCGGCCACCCGGCAGGCGCCCCAGCCACCACAGGTGCCGCAGAGCCCTTTCGAATGGCCAGCGGAGGCCCAATGTCTCCCTGCCCTGGACGGGAGGGAGCTGTGGCCCAGGCACAGCCTCTTGACCTTGGCAGGCTCCTCGCCCTTGGCTCCCCAGCGAAAGCCACTGGTGGCTTTAAAAAGCCTGGCCCTGGGCCTCAGCCCAGGGATGGTGAGTGACTTGGACGGGATGAAACATGTGCATTAGTTGTTTAAAAGCTTCTAGGTGGTTCTCAAGTGCAGGCCATATCGAGTGTTTCCATTTTAGGATCACTTTTGAGACCTCCGGATGGCGTGAGGACCCTCCCGGAGTTAACTGTGGACTAGCAACAGAGAGCGCCAAGAGCAACCCGTGCGTGTTATAAAAAGAGCAAAAACCAACCATTCTTTGACAGACCTGCTAAAAGACAGCCCATTTGCACCATGACTTTGAAGATACCGCCAACAGGAGATTGTTGGACGTCCGGAGTTGGACGGGGGTCCCACAGCCCTCCCCAGTCACACGCACAGCCCTGGGAGGACGGGGCTCCACACCGTCCCTCAGACGCCCCAGGCTCCGCATTCACACACACCTGTGCGGCGGAGCGAGTCTTTTCACCACAGGGAGGCCTTGGTCACTGGGTTCTGAAACCTGCTCTCTCTCTGCGATCTCCCTGATTACCCCCTCAGTGTCCACCTGAGTCCTGGACAGGGCTGAGAGGAGCGCCGGCTGGGGGGCAGAGTCTCCGCCAGAGGCGGGCCAGGGCCAGCAGCGGGCGGGGCCGGCCTCCATGTGTCCTCAGCACCTCAGCCTGTCCACGCTGAGAAGGACCCTTTTTTTTTTTTTTTTTTAGAAATGGCATGTTTTCCTGAAATTGCTCTTGAAAGAAATTCGGGGTGAAGGCTTGCGTGTAATGAGAGAAGCGAGCTCATTGGGGCGTGCTGCTCCCACCTGGGCCAGCACTGCCGGGCTCGCCCCCCAGGAGAGAAGGGCCGCCTCAGGGCTGGCCTCGGCCGCAGCTATGGGGGCTCCGGCTCTGACCCTGCACGGGGGAGGGCAGGGGGAATCCTGAGCCCACAGGGAGGAGCCCCGCAAGAGACACCCCCACGCGTCGGGCCCCTTTCTTTTAATGCCCCCCCAGTGTTTCTCACGACCAATCAAGACGAGGGCTCGTCCCCAGTCGCCCCAGCAGTCAGTGGAAATGGATGCGGACAGCCCCGGAGCCCCTTCCCCCGCCCCGGGGAACAAGCGGACCCGGCCGGCCGCGGCCCGACCTCGCTGCAACGGCCCCTTTTTCCTCGGGGACACGACTCACGGGCCAGCTCCCAGCAGGCGTGTCGGAGCCCGCGGCGCAGGCCAGGCCGGAGGCCTCACCTTCCACCGCGCCCGGCCAGAGCCGGGGCTGCCCTCGGCCCACCGCGAACCACTTGGCTCCCGAGCAGCTCGGCGCCCCGGAACTGCCAGTCAGCAGGGGCTGGGGTCTATTTCAGAAAATCCCCAAACGACAGTCGGGAACAGAACAAATAAGCCGGGGGGAGGGCGGGGGGACGGAGCCCTGAGGCCAGCCCTGCCCAGGGAACGCGCCTGCCAACGCGCCCCTCCCCTCCGAGGGGGCCAGCCCGGCCCCGCCCAGGGGTCTCTGGGGGGCTCGGCCGAGACAGCGCGGGGGGGCCTCGCGGGAACCCGAGTCTGGCCGCAGCACCCACGTGCGCGCGGAGGCGGCGGAGCCCGCCTGGCCGGACACGGCCTGGCTCCCGCCGGCCCGCGCTGCCCACCGCGCCGGCCCCGCGGCCCAGGCCGGTGTCCGCGTCCCCTTTGTCTGGGCCCGGTTCTCTCCGCGGCCCTTTATTAATCTCGGGCTGCTCGGGGCTCGCGCAGTCTCCGGGCTTCGCAGAAGCGCGGTCCCCCCTCCTGCGCGCGGTCCCCCCTTCCTGCAGATCACCCGCGTCACCACCCGGGCAGCCTCCGCGGACGCCGCCGGGAGTCCTCCCGCCCGAAGGCGGCCCCGCGGCCCCGCCGGCCGGCCTCGCCCGCTCCCGGAACGCGCCTGGGGGGGGCGCGGGGCCGGGTCTCACTCCAGCGCGCGCGGTGGCCCTCCCGGCTCCCCCGGCACCCCGGCCCGGCCCGGCCCCGCGGCGGCAGCAGCGCCCGAAACCCCGGGCCTGGGGAGCCGGCGGAGGGCCGGGCCGGGCCGGGCGGGGGCGGGGGGATGGGTCTCCGGTCCGCCCGGTGCCTGCGGCCTCCCCAAGGACCCGCCATGGCACCGCGGCCGCCCAGCCCGTGGGCACTGCCCGCACCGCCCCCCCCGCCCCCCCCCCCCGCCGGGCCGGCCCCGCCCCCGTCTGCCGGCGCGGAGGCGGCGCGGGGCTCCCGAGCGGGGAGCGGGCGCGGGGGTGCGCTCCAGCTGGGGGGGGCGGCGACGGCGGGGGGGCGGCGGCGGGGGTGCGCTCCAGCTCGGGGGCGGCGGCGGGGGGGCGGCCAGAGGCGCTCGCGCCGCGGGGGCTGCAGGACCGAGCCCGGCTCCCGAGGCGACCCCCGCCGGCCCGGCCCCTCCGCGCGCTCGAGCCGGCCGCAGGCAGCCGCCGCGCGCACGCGGGCCCCCGCCCCCCGCGGCCCCCCGCGCCCCCCGAGGGCGGGCCGGGACTGGACAATGAAAGTTGCCTTCGGCGAAGCCCGCCGAGGCCCGCGCGGCCGGCCGGCGGGCTCGGGGCGGGGGGGACGCGGCCCCGGACACTGGCGCCTTCCCCGGCGGCCGCCCCTGCGCGCCGCGTCCGGGGCCACCGCAGCCCCCGGGCCCCCGGCGCCGCGCCCCTCCCGGGCGCCCCCAGGACCGGCGGGCCGGCGCCTCCCCCCGGAGACCAGCCTCCGCGGGGACCCCCGCCCCCGCCCCCGCCCTGCCCGCCCGCGCCCCGGGGAGCGCCCCCACGCCGTCCGCAGCCGAGTGCCCCGACCCCGGCGCAGCCCCCGCCCGGCCCCGCGGCGCCCGGCGCCTCCATCGGCATCTGCGCGGCCCGCGCGCCCGCGGCCTCCGCCCGCGCCCGCCGGCCCCGGTCCACCTGCCGCGGCGCCCGGCCTCGCGGCCCGCGCCCCCGCCTCGCGCCGGCCAACTTGGCCAACTCGCCGCCCGCCGCCCGCTCCCCGCGCCCGCCGCTCCCTGCGCCCGGCGGCGGCGGCGCGAGCCGAGCCCGCGCAACTTCGGGAGGCGAAAAGTTACCCCCGCGCCCCCGGCCCCCGCGCCCCCGGCCCCGCGCCCCCGGCCCCCGCGCCCCCGGCCCCCGCGCCCCGGCCCCGCGCCCCCCGCGCCCCCAGCCCCGCGCCCCCGGCCCCGCGCCCCCCGCGCCCCCGGCCCCCCGCGCCCCCGGCCCCCGCGCCCCCCGCGCCCCCGGACCCCGGCCCCCGCGCCCCCGGCCCCCGCGCCCCCGGCCCCGCGCCCCCCTCGCCCCCCGCGCCCCCGGCCCCCGGCCCCGCGCCTCCGGCCCCCGCCCCACGCGCCCCCGGCCCCGCGCCCCCGGCCCCCTCAGCCGCCGCGCCCCCGGCCCCGCGCCCGCGGAGGGCCGAGCCGGCGGCGCCCACCCGCAGCCACGCACCGTGCTCGCCGGCGCCGCTCCGCTCCAGCGGCCGCTGCCCGGTCCTCGCGCGCTGGCCGCTCCCGCCGCAGTGCCCGCGCCCGGCTCTGCCGCCGGCGCCGCGGAGCGCGCGGGGGTCGCCGCCGAGGGGGCGCGGGCGGCGGGCGCGGCCCCGATCCGCAGCCCCGCGCGAGCGCAGCGCGGCCTGCCGGGAGAGCGCGGCCCCCGCGTCTGCCGCGAGCCCCGCGCGGCCCTCCCGGCCGGCCCCCGCCCGCCCCGCGCCCCGCCCCGCCCCGCGCCGTCCCCTCCCCTCCCCTCCCCTCCCTCCCCTCCCTACCCCCTCGCGCGGGCCGGCGGGCGCCGGGCGCTGCGGGGAAGCCCGGCCGGCTCCGAGCGCGCGCGCGGGCGGGCGGGCGGGGCGGGGCGCGGCGAGGGGGGCGCTCGGCTGCGGGCGGCGCGCGCCTTCCCGCCGGAGAGCCCGGGCGGCGCGGCTGGGGAAACTGAGGCCCGGCGGCTCCCGGCGGTGGCGGCCGCGCCAGAGGGGCCTGTGGCCGGCGGCTCGTGAGGACGGAGCCAGCCGGAAGGCCGCGCCCCGACAGAGGCGCTCGCGGAGGGGCCCCTGAGGACTGCGGAGGCCGCGCGGCGGACCCCCTTCCTGGCCGCCCCCCTTTCGCTTCTGTCAGAACTGGGGGGGCTAAGGGGACCGGCGACTGGCGTCCCCGGCGTCGCCACCCGTCGGCGCCGCCCCGCAGTCCCGCCCCGCCCCACGCCACAGGCCGGCGCGCGCTGCCCCTCCTCGAAGCCGGGGCCCACGCGCGGCCCCCGCCGCCCCGCCCCGCGCACGCGTGGGGACCCCGCCCTCCCGGACTCGCGCGGGCCGGCTCGCGCCCCGGTCGGCCGACGGTCCGTCCGTGTGGCTCCGGGCCTCCCGGGCTCCTCCCCGGCCCCCGGCGGACGGTGCTCCGGGGCGCCCGCGTGGGCTCCGCGCCCCAGGCAGCCCGCGGGACAGGCCGCCCCTCAGACTGGTTGGAGGCGCCGCGCCCCGGGCCCAGCCTCCGGGCTCACAGGCCGCGGGCGAAGGGGCGCCGGGCGGGACGCGCGCGTGTCCCTTTCGCTCCGCGCGGCGCGAGGCTCCGTCTCCAGGTCGCCCCGGGCAGCCACAGCTCGTCACGGGGCGGCCCGTCCCGCCGCGGCCGGTGACTCCGGCTCGTCCGCGCCCGCGCCCAGGTGAGCGCCGCGGGCCCCACGCGCTTCTCCCGACGGCTCCGGGGGCGCGGGCCTGCGTTACACACCTAGAGCCGCTCTGCGCCACGCACGCTCCCCGCACAGACGCGCCCGCTCGCCGCGGCTGCGCCCGGAAGGCCCGGCGGGCAGAGCCCTCAGGACTGGGCTGCCGGCGGCGCCCGCAGGGCCGCGTCCGCTGTCTGCAGAGCGGAGCTGGGCACAACCGGAGCCCGAATGGACTCGGACGTCGCCAAACTCGTCGGAGCCCGCCGCCGAGGGGGGGGAGGCGGCCTCGCGACCACCGGGGACCCAGCCGCAGGGAGGACGAGGCCTGCGGAAGGCGAAGGGGCTGGAATGCGCCGACGGGCGCTGGCAGATTCCAGATGAAACGCGGCCGTCAGGGAATTAAACGCATAACTGCAGGAATTTTTTAGAACTTCAGACCAAAAAGATCCCGTGACCCGGGAACATTTTTCAGGGATGTACCTTAGAATTGCAGGGAGCTGATGCTAAAAGCCACACTGGCTTTGTCTTTAAATATTCTTTTGGGCCTCCCTGGTGGCACAAGGGGTGACGTCCCAGCACTGTGAAGCTGTCTCAGCCTCTGCAGCACGGGTTCGATCCCCAGCCAGGGAGCAACCCACAGGGCGCAGCAGACTCCTGTCTCCCCGCGGCTCCCCTCAGCAGTGTCCTTCGGTCCGTCTGCCTGTTCTGCTCCCCGCTCTGGCTCTGGGGAATCCTCTCACCCCCGCACCTCTGGTCTGCACCCCAGCTCTTTAACAACAAATAAATAAACATTCTCTTGAAATTCTCCACAGAGACTTCCGCCTGCCACCGCCCCCCAGTCTCCCCCAGGACCCCACCCTAGCTCACACCCCACCTTCCTTCGCTGCCCTGCCCTGGTGTGGGTCAACCCCAGCCCACGACTTTGAAACAGCCACCAGCCCAAATGGACAACACGGCTACGATTTTCACCGACAGTCGTCATTATTGGGGAAATTTCTTTAAACACCCAGGTCTTTGGCCATGACCCTCGCTCCGGCTACGCAGAGACTAACCGTAAGTGTGACTTCTGGCGCATCCCACACATCTGCAGCCACAGGCCCTGCAGTCCACCCCGTCCCCTCGTGCACGCACTCCTGCGTGGCGGCGCCTGCCGGGGCCAGCGCTGGGGAGAGGTCAGGGAGCAGGGAAGCGCCTGCTACGCATCAAACGGCAGCGGCAGGGTGACAGTGGGCACATCAAGCTGTGGGCTTGTACCTCCCTGGACTTCCTGCTTCATCCTCAGCTGACCGCGGCAGCGAGCACCCAGGACGCTCACAGCTGCGCCTGCTATGTCTGACACCACATGACAGTGGCAGACGCCATCGAGGGCCTAGGGCTTGATGGTTTCAGGATCCCATGTCATTACCTTCACCCAAAGTTTCCTACTTACTGTAATTAAACCTTCTCCTCAAGTATCCCAAGATGAGACCTTAATTTTTCACGAGCACGGACGCACTGCCCATCCCTGCAGCGCTCCGGGCACCGTCCTGAGGCCACCTCGCACCTTGCGGGTCTGGCAGGCGCCACGCGGACGCACTCCCGAGACAGCCTCCAAGTTTCAAGTGCTGCCCTAGACCCCGGCGCGGCTTGGGGTGCGTGAGGACCCCCAGGCTGAGGCCACACGCTGGAGCCGGTGCTGTTTGTGAGTGACCACAAGTCCCAGCCATGGGGAGCCCGGGCTCCCTGCTCAGCCTGACCCTGCTCGCTGGCTCCGTGCTTTGTCCTCAGCCTCTCTCGTCCCTTCAAACAGTCATGCGCGCACAGACAAGGCCTGTTTGCTGGAGCACCTCAGTCACTGACTAGCGCAGAAGAGAAAGTTCCGTAGGAATCCGCCCAAACTCAGAAATCCCAAAACCAAAGGGAAAGAGCCTTCCCACATGGCGGATGGGCCAGCCACAGCCGTGGCCTGACCACAACTGGACCAGCAGCACCGGTCAGAAACCCAGGACACGCACCTGTTTCAGCCACGGAAGCGTCTGCTTGCCTCGCTTTCAGACACCCCAGCTCACAAGTTCAGGCCCTCTGGGTCTCACCGGGCCAAATGTGAGCCAGGAATGTCAGCGCAGCTTTTTGCGAATGAGCTGGATCCAATTCTTCACACAACATCGTCACCGGGACCAGTTCCACGCGTCCCCAGGCTGCTGTGGCAGGAGCTGGAAAAACATCCCTATTTTCATATCTGACTAGTTTTTCACCCAAAAATAACCACTTACCAAATACAGTCGATTTTTCAGTGAAGGAAAAAAAAAAAACTACAGACGATGAAGAAGTAGCAAGTTCAAGGGGCTGATAATAGGATGCAGTTGTTTTCCTCATTTCAAAATCTGCCCCCATAAATTCAAACCAGATTTGTGGGGATTGAAAGCTCTTTCTCTGGCTCTAAATCAGGAGTCAATTTGCAACAAGCTGCTTCTCACCACACTCTCCGCTGGGTGGGTCAGGGCATGGTGGGTCGAGGAATCATTGACACCGAATCACCCGAGACCCGCCGTGAACGAGGGTGGGAGTTGGGGTGTCTTCCTGTGAAGACCCCAGGTGCGGCCCCCGGCCCCGTAAGGCTCACAGGCTCTCGCCTGCTCCGCCAGCCTGTGCCACCCGGGCCCCACCCAGTACCTCCTGCCGGTTGAGGAGTGTATGTTCCTGCCTCACCTCTGCGGCGGCGGCTCCCTCGCCTGGCTAGTCCTCCCTGGTCTGTGTCCATGTCTCTGGGCCTGGGAGTGTCTGGAGAACAGACTTCCTCTGTGCTTCTGAGGTGAGCCTTGCAGGGCGGGAGTGCAGCTCAGGGCCGGCCTGGGGATGAATGAGTACAACTCAGCCTGTTTGTTTGAGTTTTCTAGAAAGTGCAGAGACTGGCATCCCCATCGGGGCCCTATGCTATGTTAAGTTTTCTAGATGAGAGCTTGAATGGGGGCTTCTCGAAACGTGGCCCCAGCCGGCAGCATTGTCTGCCGGGAACTCCTTAGAAATACAGATTCCCAGGTCCGGGGCCAGCCCGGGAGCCAAAACTTCCCGAGGCAGAGCTCAGCCATTTGGATTTTAACCAGAACATTCGCCCTCCTGATGCTTGTTAAAACTTGAGAACTGCTGGCGAAATCGTCCTGCTCTTACACCCAGGAGCCTCTGAACCTGTGACAAGGCCAGACGCACCCCCCACACACACTTCAGCCCACATGGGGCCCAGCCCCTCGCCTCATTGGGCTGGCAAAAACCGCCAGTTTCTTCCCTGCGCCCACGAGAGGTGCTGGGCTTGAGGTGCTGGCGCTTTCATGCGCCATTCCCTGTGCCGGGGAGGCCCAGCAGGGGGTGAAACTCCCACACTGTCTGGCTGGGCCCTCAGGGTGAGTCTGTGGGGCCTTCGGGAGACGAGGTCCCTGGAGGACAGGGCCAATGCCACCCCGTCAGCCCGGCCCCGCTTCTGGGTTTCACACATGGTTCCCCTGCTCCCTGGGTGCTCCTGCAGGACAGGCGGTGCTGGAGCTCCGTGGCGTCAGCTGCCCTGCTGCAGTGGCCAGAGCGCAAGCGTGTGATCTGGGCTGTGCTGCTGGCCTCCCTGCCACCTCCACTGCCCATCCCCAGGCTGACCATTTGCACGGTCCAGGGCTGTGAACGGCCTGGTACAGCCATGGGCTCAATCCTGCTCCAGGTGGGTGTTCTGTACACATATGCTAACTTCACACGGGGTAAGGCGTGTCCGCGGCGCTGTAACTGCAGGGACTTGGCACCTTACACGCCACCCACCACCGCCACGCCGGCCCCCGCTAGCCTCCTCGTGCTGTCAGCGTCCAGGG